CGTGGTCAGGCATCCGGACTATGTGGCCGGTCCACCGGAGTTGATGGCGGAGGACCATCGCTTCAATGCTGGTGGTCTTTGCTACTTCCAGCACGCTGACGTTTGTCTGCCTGTCTTCCCAAGAGATTTGCAGGATTTTCCGGAGGCAGCGCTGATAGAATCGTTCCAGGAGTTGCATGTGACGTCTGTAGACAGTCCACGTCTCACAGGCATATAGCAGGGTTGGGAGGACAATAGCTCTATAAACAAGCACCTTGGTATCCCTACGGATGTCCCAATCCTCAAACACTCTCTGCTTCATTCCGAAAATTGCTGCACTCGCAGAGCTCAGGTGGTGTTGTATTTCGGTGTCAATGTTGACTTTGGTGGAGAGGTGGCTGCCAAAGTAGCGGAAATGATCAACATTTTCTAATGTTACACCATTAAGCTGTATCACTGGCATTGGAGAGGGGTTTGCTGGTGTCTGCTGGAACAGCACCTTGGTTTTTTCAATGTTTAATGGCAGGCCGAGCTTCTCATATGCTTCTGCAAAGGTGTTTCGAGTGGCTTGTAGATCTTCTGAATGCACACAGACGATGTTGTCATCAGCATACTGGAGTTCTATAACAGATTTTGTTGTAACCTTGGTTTTGGTTTTCAGTCTGCTGAGGTTGAATAGCTTGCCATCTGTCCGATAGATGATTTCCACTCCGGTGGGAAGCTTCCCATCAACAAGGTGAAGTATCATAGCGATGAAGATGGAGAATAAAGTTGGGGCAATAACACATCCCTGTTTGACACCGGATTCCAACTTAAATGGGTCACTTTGTCTCTCCTATATATGTCACATTCCTTGGTGATTTTTCACAGACTGACATCTTTCTGGACACATAAAACACAGCTTGATCCAGGCAATAATGTTGCCAAAATCGAGAATGTTCATGTTCCAATAATTGGAATGGTAACATGTCTGTTCAAGACTAACCCTATATACACTTTTCTGGAAAGGAATATACATGTAGACTCAACCTTTTGTTGAAATCAAATTTGTCCTAAATGAAGAACCTAATTAAAAATATGCCCTTGTCTGAACCAATTGATGGACTCTTCCCTCCAATTCAAGGAGAGGTTTAGTGCTTCGCAGCGGAACTGCATTTATGCCTCCCATCCCTCTCATCATGGATGCTTTTTCAGCCCACTCACTACTCTCAGCTACTGAGATTACAGAAGGACTACTACATGATTTCAGTCCAGTCTTTGCATTACATCCAAGTGGGAACTGAAACTAATTTATTTCGAAGTGCTCACAAGGCAAGCCATAACCTGTAGGAGGGCCAGAAATGAATCTGCTTCATAGATTGAACCTGAAATGTGGGGGGGGAAAGGGGAATGATCTGCGCTGAGCTTTGACGCAAGATAAAGAAAAACCATACACTCCCACATAAAGAAAAGAAAGCCATGGGCACACATCCAAAGCAGATTTCAGATTCTCATGACGGAGAAAGTTACCACTAAGGCTGCATTGTCCAGCTGCAATTTATTTCTTTTACTTAAGGAAACCTCACTGGATTCAAATAGGTAAGTGTATCACTCCTTATTCCTCTACAGCAAGAAGGGGTGGTGAGGATTTGCCCCAGTTTCAGTACCAAGGAGGGTCCCTGGGAATCCACTGGGAAGCAAAGGTGAAAAGCAACAGCTTTAGGCACTTGGAGACCTCTCCATTCAGACAGTCAGCATGATGTGTGAAGAGCCAGTGTGGTGATTTGAGTGTTAGACTATGATTCTGGGAGATCAGGGTTTGAAACCTCTCAGCCATGGAAACCTACTGGATGAATTTGCACAAGTCACAGGCTCTCAATCTTAGAAAACCACAATGACACATCTCCAAAGAAAGCCCTGAGATAAGGTTACCACAAGTTGGAGCTGACATAACAACAGCAAAAATAGTTTCTAAGCTTGCAAGGCAGCTGAGAAACTCAGACATACCTCTGAAATATGACCCACGATCAAATCTAAACAAAAATCAAAGCTACTTTATAGGGCCTATAAAGCCCTAAACAGTTCTGGCCCAACTTACCTGTCTGGACACATATTTCCTTATAAACTTGCTAGGACTTCCATCCGGGGATGTTCTGGTCTCGTTCCCGCCTGTATCACAAACACAATTGATGGGGATGAGAGACAGGGCCTTCTCAGTGGTGGCCCCTCAGCTATGGAACACCCTTCCTAGGGACATTAGATCACCCCCCTCCCTCTTAACAATTCAGAAAACAGTCAAGACTTTGAAAGCATTTGAAAATGCAAGGTAAAAGACATAGGAATTTGGAACGACTGGATGACGAGATTGGACAATGTTTTTATTAGGAGATACAAATGATTTATGTTTTTAATACTCTTGTTATGATTTTATATTCTGGGTTAATGTTTTTAAATGTTTTATGGTATTTTTGGGCATCAAATTGTTGCCATTGTAAACCGCCCTGAGCCACCTGAGGGCTGAGAAGGGCGGTTTATAAATATAGGAAATAAATAAATATTCGATGTATCCCCTTGTGTAGTTTGGTTGTGTCAGGAGTGACTTGAGAAACTGCAAGTCGCTTCATGTGTGAGAAAATTGGCAGTCTGCAAGGATGTTATTCAGGAGATGCCCGGATGATTTGATGTTTTTATCATCCTTGTGGGATGCTTCTCTCATGTCCCCGTACGAGGAGCTGATAGAGGGAGCTCATCCACCTCTCCCCGGATTCGAACCTGCGACCTGTCGGTCTTCAGTCCTGCCAGCACAGGTGTTTAACCCACTGTGCCACTGGGGGCTCCCCCTTGTGTAGTGTTAGGATTTATGATGCCCCATCATAAGGCTTTGCTGACTTCTTGCTCAGGAAATGGTTGATTTGTTAAACACCGTTTGGGCTCCTAGTATCTCAGACTCTCAGTACTGCCAAGAAAATGGTGGTGGGGGAGGACAGAGAAAAGGAAAGCACAACTGAAGAAGTACTGAAATAGATGCAGAAGAAGAAGCAATATTAGGCAGCAAGAAAAGGAGGAAGCGGGAACTAACAAATACTAAGGAGCTATTAAGGTAAATATAATACACTTCAGCACCCTGGACAGATCTCTCCACCCTTAGTTGAGCTTTTGAAACTCTGTTGAAGATCTATTTATAAAGAAGCATGATAAAGGCCCCTTCCACACAGCTGTATAAAATCCACATTGAACTGCATTATGTGGCAGCGTGGACTCAGAAAACCCAGTTCAAAGCAGATACTGTGGATTACCTGCCTTGATATTCTGGGTTATCTCCTGTCTCACAACGTCTCTCTCACAATGAGGAAATGATTGACAAAAATATATTGGCATGCTGATATTTCCTTCTCATTTCTTGGTAGCTTCATATTACTGATAATCCATTTGGCACTCATCTCCTGAGTTGGCTAGTAGAAGGAATGACAAAAGGTAGGTTGCATCCTTAGCATGTACTACAAAAATACATAAAAACTCCACCTCAACAAAATAGCTTGGATATCATAGCCCCACATGAAGTAGTTTAGGCATGCTCCATGGAATTTTAACACCCTCCTCCTGGATAGCAGTTTCCTATGCTTTTGGACTTTTCTTTATTTGATATTTGGAACATTATTAGAGAAAAATGGACTCAAGTACTCAACCCAAGTAGCAGAGGGAACCTCCTTACACTAAAGCAGACCACTGACATAATCTAAAGCTAAGGACTAAGGCTAAGGACTGTCTATACCAGTGGTTTCCAAAGTTTTTCAGTCGCAGAGCCCTTTTTGAAGCAAACATGTCAGCGTTTAGCATAAGTAGCCCGCAGAATGACTCTAGACCTTGTAACTCTAAGTGTGATAAAGTAACTCATAAAAAAACACATGAGTCTGTTGCTTTAAGTAGAAAAGAAAATGAAGTTGTATTCACAGCATACAAAAACAAAACAGAAGAATTGCTCTCACCAAAATGTAATACAAAACAATATCTTCGGTGGGTTGTCTTCATTCAACAGCAAAATGCAGGAAAGTAACAGGGAACAATATGCAGTCCTTCTTCCTTTGTTGTCAGCAGACTGACCTTGTCTTGTATAAACAAAATTTATCTTCAGGACGCTGCTCTGGCACCAACCAAAGGCTTTTCAACTCCGAACGAGCCCTCAAGCAAATCATAGAACGCAATGCTACTGGCATTGAACACAATGCTCAAAGTACAAACACACAGTAGCTTACTATATACATGAGATAACAATACACTCAATTAACCCATCAATTAACTGTGTCAGCTGCAACAGAAACAGCCCTGATCTTTTCCAAAACTTAGGAAAAGTATGTTGCAAACTCTTAGTAGCAAGAAAACGTTTCTTGTGGAGCCCCAAGAAACATTTATATATTATATTATATATAACATACATATATCAGGCATATGCAAGCTTTTTGACACATTGTGTTTTAAAATTTGACAGACAGGCCGGGCCAGTGGCATATAGATGGAGAGTGTTTGTGTGAACTAATTGGGGAAAAATGAATAAATTCCTATGCACACTGCACACATCTAGTTCGTAGTGCAAAATAAAGAAAAAAAGAAAGAACAATACAATATTTAAAATGAAGAGCCATTTTAACCAATATAAATCTAACAGTGGAAGACCCCTGGGGCCATGCAGTTCAACTACCTTCTGTCATGTAGGAAAAGGACAATCAAAGCACTCCCTGAGCAGTTGGAGGAAAATAGAGTTTTGGAAGTAAGTAAGGCAAAGGGGAAAAGCTTTCGGTGGCAAGGGAAGTGAGGGGAGGAGCAGAAAGAAGGAGGGAAAGCTTGGTGGAGGAGGGAACCACAGAACTCCTCAGTATGCTTCACAGAGCCGAAGGGCTCCATGGAGCACACTTTGAGAACCTCTAGTCTACACTGAGCAGCTGCAGCTCTCCAGGATTTCAGATAATCTTTCCTAATCATACCCGGATAACTGGTTTTGTAATTTTGTATACAAAGCATGTATTCTACAAATTACCTCAAAGGTATGGGATTGTTATACTCTTTGTGCTCTTGACAGACTCCAGAAAGTCGATGGATTCTGGCATCAGAGGAGAGATTCACCACAATATGAGATTCGTCTGTTTTCTGTTCATCGTGGGCTTCTTTTATATGGCACCTTCCTTCTGTTACAGCCAGATTGATCCTCAGGCTCTTGGCCAAGCTGATCCCCAGTGTTGGGAATCCTCATCTGCCATTTTGTTGGAGATGAGGAACCTACATGTTTCTGACTCTGTTAGTAGCTTTTGGGACTTCATGGTCTCCCTAAAGTCATCAGAGAACTTGGAGCATGGTGCCCTCTTCTGGGATTTAGCGCAGCTCTTCTGGGATATCTATGTGGATTGTGTCCTTTCCAGAACACATGGTCTGGGGAAAAGGCAGCTTGGTGAAGACCAAAAGCAAATGGACATAAGAAGTAAGTACGGCTATTACTGTATCTTCACCACACATGGATGGTATGTCAAGAATGAAGGGACGATGCACATAAAAGGTATTGAATTTTGTCATGGCAAAACCCTGACAAACTTAATGGTGACTTCTGGGGCAAAATGGCTTTTCCATATGAGGAGGCAATGTTGGATGTTTGCAGACTAGGGCATAGAGATATTAGAGTTATAGCTATCTTAGAAGCCCTAGCTGCACAGCAGCTTGTTCAATGGTCAGGAATTTTGGAGAGCGGCAGTTTGAGGATACCTATTTAACTAAAAAATGATTTGCTATATTGTTTTCAAATATTTTAATCAATCAGGACAACAAATAACTTTTACAAATTATTTCCAAATTTTGCCACAATACAAGTGACATTTCCCATTGCATAGCTTCTTCCCACATCAGTATTGCACTGGTCTGAAAGAAGTGTGAGAGAAAAGCAAGCCATGAACTGCTCTCACTCCATGAGTCACCTGTGCTATTTTTTATTTAATTAAAAACATTTTACACAAAACAATTGCATTATTACATTAAATATTCCCAGATCTATACACCCCTGCCCACATAGTTCACATAGCTTTATACAAATACAGATTTTCCACTTCTGTTGCTTATTCTAATTTTCTCCATTGCATATAGTTGTGGTTTTCTAATTGTTCATGCATAATTTTTCTTGGTCATTTGGTGATTTACATTTGCCATTACTTTTGCACATGCATCTAATAAATGGCTTCCATGTATTTTCAAATAGGTCTTTTATTGTTCTTCCTTTTGCCAATATTAATTTATATGTTAACTTTTCCGATAGCACCATAACCCATATCTTATTTAACCAATTCTTTACTGATAAATTCTCTAGCTTTTTTTTCATGTTCTGACTATTTCAAGTCTTGTGGCACATAGCATGAGTATTATAAGATTTTTATTTACCAAATCCTTATTCTCACTTTTGAATACAGAGATCAGTAATGAAGTTCCCCTGAAATGTACTGTTTCCCTCACCATTTGCTTTATCCACAATAGAACTTCATCCCAGAATCTTTTGGGCACATTAGTCACATGTGGCTCCCATCCCCAGTTTCTCCACACTTTCTCCAACATATTGTAGTTTAGGGATACTATTATTTATTTATTTGCTTCATTTATGCCCTGCCTTTCTCGACCCCATAGGGAGACTCAAGGCTGCTTACAACTCCGGCAAGATTCAATGCCACTTAAAACAACCTATCCTATTATCAAACCTATCCCATGCATACTATTATTAATTCTATGTAGTTTAAGTGGATAGTAGTGCTCTATATAATTTTCAACACATTTTGTCTCACTTGTGCTGAAATTAATTTATGCGCTTGAGTTTTTCAGATTAAGGCCCATTGTTTATTTTCTATCTTAAATCCTGAATCTGATTCCCATGCTGATAATCTATCAAGAGAGCTAGACAGGGAGAGCGTGTCCCTGCTAGTTCTCCTGGACCTCTCAGCAGCTTTCGATACCATCAATCATGGTATCCTTCTGACTCGGCTCTCTGGGATGGGACTGGGAGGCATTGTTTTGCAGTGGCTCTGGTCCTTCCTGAAGGGTCAGACCCAGATGGTGGTGCCAGGGGACACCCTGGCCAGTGACCCATGGGGTCCCTCAGGGTTTAGCTCTGTCCCCCATGCTGTTTAACATTTGCATGAAACCGCTGGGAGAGATCATCCAGAGTTTTGGAGTTCAACACTCAACTCTATTACTCCATTCCACCGAAAGCCAAGGATGCTGTCCTGCCCCTAAACCGGTGCCTGTCATCAGTAATTGACTGGATGAAGGCCAACAAGCTGAAACTAAATCCAGACAAAACAGAGGTACTCCTGGTCAGTCTGAAGGTGGATCAGGGTGTGGGATTACAGCCTGTGTTGGATGGGGTCACACTCCCTCTGAAGATGCAGGTTCACAGCTTGGACTCAGCGCTGACCCTAGAACCTCAGGTGTTGGTGGTGGCCAAGAAAACTCTCACACAATTAAACTTGTGCACCAGCAGCAGCCATGGTGGTCCAAGCCTTGGTTACTTCCCATTTGGACTTCTACAACACTCTCTATGTGGGGCTGCCTTTGAAGATAGTTTGGAACAAAATCTGGCTACCAGTATTAAAAAACTCTAAAATTAAAACAGCAAAACAGCAGAGGCAAAACAATCAGGGACATCTAATCACCTCTCAACAAAAGATTGCTCCAGGCACTGCCAGGCCATGCTAATCAAGGTGGTCAGTTGAAACATTCACACCTAGCTTCAGCAGACAAGAGTCCTTTGTCCCACCTTGGTCTTTTCACAGATATATAAACCCCTTTTCCTAGTGCCAACAGACCTCACTACCTCTGAGGATGCTTGCCATAGATGCAGGCAAAACGTCAGGAGAGAATGCCTCTAGAACATGGCCATATAGCCCGAAAAAACCTACAACAACCCAGTGATTCTGGCCATGAAAGCCTTCGACAATACAATAGTAATAATAATCTTTATTTATACCCCGCCACCATCTCCCCAACGGGGACTGGGTGCGGCTTACAAGAGGCCAAGCCCAACAGCATATTACAATAAAATTAAAACCAAAGCACAAACAACAACACAGTAAAATACATAAAACATATGAGTACAGTAAGCAATATAAAAATACAATGCAAAATCATTCACAATCATGACAATGTGCGGGCTGCATGTGCAAGATAAAATACTAAAAAACTCAGGGTGAGATAGGAATGGAGCCGATTATTTGTGAGGGAGAAGCTCATAAAGAAACGGGGTCGTACAAAACAGGCCTTCATACAGGAGTGGGAAATGTACTATAGGAACAAAACATCGAGGGGGAGATAGAGTGTATGGTTATATGGCTATTCTCCAACCTTCTGCCACATCCACAACTCATCAGATGATCAGGGAGACTTAAAGGAAGTTGTGTATCTGTCTCCTGAGAATCAGGTTCCATCATATCTCACCTGAGGTCCTGCCAGACTACAGCCTCCCTTTAGTCATATTGCTCTTCCATTGCTCCCATTGCTTCTAACCAGATGGTGTATCAGTCTCTCAATACAATGAAAAGTTGGTTTCTTGAGAGAGACTGATCCATTATAATCAAATGAAAGATGGCATTGGTCATGTTGATAAATATACAATTTCAGGTATAGAAATATATTCTCATGTTGCTTTCCCCTCAACATCTAGGCACCTTCTCAGAAATGCTGGGGACTCCTGTGAGAAAGAAAAAAGAACAGAACGTAATATGCATCCATGCGCACAACAGACAGCCTGCTTTGCTTACAAGGATTACTGGACTCTTAGGAGTGAAGAAAAACGAAATGTAGAATTGTACTATTGATTCTTTATGTTATATATGTGTGTGTGTATGTGTGTGTGTGTGTGTGTAAAGTTCGTTTGTGGGATTAACAGAACTCAAAAACCAGTGGGCCAATTGACACCAAATTTGGAAAGCATACACCTAACAACCCAATGTATGTCCTTCACTCAATTTTTTTTTATTTTGTCATTTGGGAGTTGTAGTTGCTGGGATTTATAATTCACCTACAATCAAAGAGGATTCTGAACTCCACTAACGATGGAATTGAACCAAACTTGGCACACAGGACTCCCATGACCAACAGAAAACACTGGAAGAGATTGGTGGGCATTAACCTTGACTTTGGGAGTTGTAGTTCACCTACATACAGAGAGCACTGTGGACTCAAACAATGATGGGTCTGGACCAAACTTGGCACAAATATTACATATGCCTGAATATGAACACAGATGGAGTTTGGGGAAAATATACCATGACATTTGGGAGTTGTCATTACTGGGGATTATAGTTTACCTACAATCAAAGAGCATTCTGAACTCCACAAATGACAGAATTGGGGCAAACTTCCCACACAGGCCACAGAAAATACTGAAGGCCATCCAGTCCAATTCCCTTCACCAGGGCAAGAAAAAGTAATCAAAGCCCTTCCTGACAAAGAGCCATCCAGCCATAGATATAGATATATGATTCACACACATGGAGAGATATAGTATCATAGATTTGAAAGAGACCCTTAAAGAAGAACAATTCTATGTTGCATGTTCCAGAGTAGGCAAACCAGACAATCTCCACATCAACACTGACAAAGAAACAGCAAAAAAATACTCTTTACCCACAAGAATAAAGAAATTACATATATTAGAAAAAAACACTTTCACATTACTTCATTTTCCAGATCACCAGACGGCCACAGCAACACGTGGCAGGGGATGGCTAGTGACTATATATATATATATATATATATATATATATATATATCCTTTTTTCCCTCCTCTCTCTGCACTAAGTTATGTTTATGTTGTTTCTCATGGGAAAAAGAATACCTGTACAATATGAGTACAATCTAATACAATCCTGTCCGAACACATCTCTCCCTATGAACCATCTAGATCTCTAAGATCGTCTGGGGAGGCCCTGTTCTTGGTCCTGCCTCCTTCGCAGATGCGACTGGTGGGAATGAGAGACAGGGCCTTCTCAGCGGTGGGCCCTCAGCTATGGAATGCCCTCCCTAGGGATATCAAATCATCCCCCTCCCTCCTAACATTTCGAAAAAAAGGTTAAAACCTGGCTTTTTGAGCAAGCATTCGCAGATGCAGTGTAACAGGCTAATTTAGATCCACGGAACAATTTGACGATACGACTGGAAAATGATTCTAGTAACGAGATGCTGAGGACTTGTGTTTTATTGTTTTTATTGCTTTTATTGATTTTATATGGTTTATACAATATGTTAATGTCTTAACTATATTTTATGTTGTTGGGGGCATTGAATTATGCCGATTGTAAACCACCTTGAGTCGCGTTCGGGATGAGAAAGGTGGTATATAAATATGGTAAATAAATAAATAACATTCCATTGTGGTTTTATATCCCATTAAAACAAGCAGGATCAAAATGATTGGGCACTTACTCTCAGTCCATTTCTTTCTGTGGTAGTGTGTTGTTGGAATGAAACTATTAGAATATAATGACAATGGAAATCATCGTACAAATGATTTGCCCATAGCACTGCATGAATATCCACTATTATTTATTTATTTACAGTATTTATATTCCGCACTTCCCACCCCACAGGGGACTCAGGGTGGATTACAATGTACATATACATGGCAAACATTCAATGCCATAGACACACAACATGTATAGACAGACACAGAGGCAATTTAACTTTTCATGAGGGTATTCTCGCCACCAGGGGAGCTGTTGCTTCACCATCCATTTGTGACACTGATGGAGTACTTCCTCATTCTTTGCAGGCTTGCTGGAGGTTTTTATGGCATCATAAATTAGTTAAATTAGCATCCCTGTGTAGGCGGTACCTAAATTTCCTACATGACAGATGTAACTGTCTTTCGGGTTGCAAAGGTCGACAGCAAGCTACACAAATTGGTCAGACACTCACTCCAACCCGGGCTGGCTTTGAACTCATGACCTTTCAGTCAGTAGTGATCTTAATGTACCTAATGCCAGTTGATTCTAAGGCAATTTCTGAGTGAGCATGAAGTGCCTGCTTTCTTTACCTTGGGCAATCAAGCAGAAGGAAAGGATTAGTACCACTGTCTTCGTACTTCCTAGCTGGCAAAGTTACTTGGCTGATGACATCGGAGAATGATTTATAAACATGCTCTGCTGTGGAGATCAATCCATCCTTGGGTAGACAGGGCTGACCTGCAGTAAGAATAAAGAAGGAAAACATTATGTGGAGTCAGTGTAGATGTCAGCATACAAAACCTATGCTGACATTCACACTGACTTTCTCAGTTCCATAAAGGCAGGATTCCAATAAAATGATTCCAACTTTATACAACTGAAAGATTTCAAAGATCCCAGGAATCAAAAACCTTTCCACTACTAGTACAGTGACTAATAGAATCTCACTCGAGGTGCAATAGTACCTAAAATATCATTATGTCATTTTCTTCAGACGGAAGATTCGACAAGTATCTCCCTTTATCCACGCTTTGACAGGAAGTAAAGAATTAACCAGATAAATATCTAACCATTTCATAATATCTCAGATCTGTTGTCTAAGGTCATGATTCTCTGTTTAATAGTAGGGCAAATTCTAGTAAGACACTAAACGTCTTGAGGGTGCTGGAGGTTGACATTCTTGAATCAATCAGCAATCAATTTTCAGATTGGAAACGTTAGATTTCAGAGCAATGAAAATCACAATGAATTATTTTAAAACATGCAACTGATAAGGAGTTGTCCTATAAAGCATTTCATGGCTGAAGATCCTGAAAGGCAAAAGAGGAGGGAGAAGTCTAACTAGGGTACACTTTGAGAAAGATGTTGTCAGCCTGACTCCTTTCCTTTAAAGTAAAGGTGTGTCTATTATTATCATCATCATCATCATCATCATCATCATCATCATCATCATCATCATTCTGACACAAAAACACAGTATGTCACAGCCAATGAGATCTATATGCTGGATTTCATATCACAAAATCACAAGTCGAACACTTCCTACATGACAGATGTAACATAGGTTTTTAAATGCTATATGTTATTGTTATTGTTTATTGCTTATTGTGTATTTTTATCTTTAAGTTTTATTTTAACTGTTTGTATTGATTTGTTATCGCCTTTGTTTATTGATGTGCTGTGGGCTTGGCCTCATGTAAGCCGCACCGAGTCCCTTGGGGAGATGATGGCGGATACAAATAAAGATTATTATTATTATTATTATTATTATTATTTATTACTTTCCAAGCGTCTAGGACTGTGTGATGTATTCTCGAATGATGCGCGCACATCCAAGTAAGGTGGCCTTTTGCAGTTGACAAATTGTGATTTTGTCAGTGTTTACTGTTTCCAAATGCTGGCTGAGATCTTTTGGCACTGCACCCAGTGCGCCAATGGGACCACCTGGACTAGTCTATGCCAGAGCCTTTGCTGTTCAGTTTTGAGGTCCTGATAATGTTGTTTCTGTTGTTTTTCCTCAATGCGACTGTCACCTATAGCGACATCAATAATCCAAACTTTTTTTCTTTTCCACAATCATAATGGCTGGTGTATTGTGTTCCAAAACTTTGTCAGTCTGGATTCAAAATTATTATTATTATTATTATTATTATTATTATTATTATTATTATTATTATTTGTAGTAGCAGTAGTAGTAGTAGAAAAAGATAATGTAGGCTGTAGTGATGCAGTGGGTTAAAACCTTGTGCTGCTGAACTGCTGACCTGAAGATTGGCAGTTAGACTCCACATGGTGAGCTCCAGCTGTTAACCCTAGCTCCTACCAACCTAGCAGTTCAAAAACATGCAAATGTTAGTAGATCACTAGGTACCACTTCAGCAGAAAAAGGCAAAAAGTTGCTCCAAGCAGTCATGCCAGCCATATGACCAAGAGGTGTCTACTGACATAGGCTACTCGGCTTGGAAATGGAGAAAGAACACCTCCCCCAGAGATGGAGATGAGCACCGCTTCAGAGCCGGAAATGAAAGGAGAAGTCTTTGCCTTTATCTGTGTATTTGTCTCATTGTATATCATTTGTAACAAGGCATTGAATGTTTGCCTGTGTCTGTGTATATACTGTAATCTGCTCTAATGATAAATAATAATAATTATTATTATTATCTGAAAGCCAACATAACCATTCTCCAAACCACATAAGAGCACTGCATCATAAAATGCCAAAAAAACCCTGCAAAATTAAAAGAAACCATCTGGCACTATCTTCCTACCACTCTAGAGATTAAAGGCAGAGATTTTTGGATTGCAACTTCCATAATCTTTCATCATTAATATTGGGTAATGTTGATAGAAACTACAAACCAACAACATACATGTAATGAGAGGTATTGTTTACCTAGCCCATTTGAGCAATCCATTTTGCAATAGATGGAAAACACAATATTTAAAAGGTATTCATGAAAAAGAGGTACTCAATGAAGGTCCTTTTTGGCCCTTGGGACAATGCTAGACAATAGGCTGAGCCCCACATCAGAGCAAGACCTTTGGCACTGCCGCAAATTTGGGGTATTCTTACCAGGCTGTGTTTGGAAGGACAGGGCATCCTTCAGTTTTGTCAATAAGTGCTGCAGTTCTTCCTCCTCTGTCTGTCTCTCACTGAGAGATGCCTCTCTTGGAGAGGAAGAGTGGGAGTGTGACATCTTAATCCCCATGCTGAGATAGTACCCATTGTGTTTGGGTTTTTGACCTCCGGAGTGGTTTGTAAGAGGAACAGTTTCCCTATTTGGGTTTTCATGATGCAGAACTTCAGGACTAGCATTTGGTGAGGGCGGTGACTGCAATGTGGTTGCTGGCATTCTGGGATTCTTGGTAAGAGGAGTCGTCTGTGGTTCCTTCAAGGACCACTTCTTTTCAGTACAAGGAGCAGACTTGCGCTTCAAATATTTCATATGCTTGAGCTTGAATGAAGAATGATTGGTTCCATGCTGAGGATTCCTTTCCTTCGAGGATTTGTTGTTATGTAAAGTCTGCATTGCAAAGGAAAGATGAGATCTTGATTGAAATGATTAAATGGGCCAAGAGGGAGGAAGATGAGAGTGAGGAGGCAAAGACAGAAAGATACAAAGAAAACCTGTGGATGCTCTCAAGACCCATGGCACAGTAAAATGGCATCTTGTATACAAAATCATGAACAACTCCAACAAGAGCTGGAGAGAGCCTATGAATTTGTAAAATTTTAGGAGGCTACAGAAAAAGTGGGGCCATGGTGGCAGAGTGGGTTAAACCGCTAAGCTACAGAACTTGCTGACCAGAAGGTCGGCTGTTCGAATTCAGGGTGAGTCCCCATTATTAACCTCAGCTTCTGCCAACCTAGCAGTTCGAAAAACATGGAAATGTGAGTAGATCAATAGGTACCACTTTGGCAGGAAAGCAATGGCATTCCATGCAGTCATGCTGGGTACATGAGCTAGGAGGCATCTAAGGACAACACCAGGTTTTTGGCTTAGAAATAGAGATGAGCACCACTTCCCAGAATCAGACTTGACCAGGCTTAACAACAAGGGGAAACCCTTACCTTTACTTTTACAGCAAAATATCTCAACACATCAGCATAGTGTTTAGTACATGGAAAAAGCAACATTTGTTTTGAGGAGGATTTAAAAAAATATTTTCAAGCTATAGCTTGTTGAATTCATGGATACAGAATCCATGGATATTGAGGGCTGAGTATATAGCCGATCTACATATAGTCAATTATTTGAATCATGTTTGGGAAGTTCCAGTGAGGAGCTGCAAGCAATACACACACACACGCAGGTCTGGTACAATCAAAACAGTGGTTGGGAACAAGTTATCCGACCTAGGCCATAAAGCTCCACTCATGACAGCACACTTCACAGTTCTTCACATGCTAAAACTGAGTGGAGAATTTTCATTCATCTGGAGATTTTGGACTACACCTTTCATACTTCATTACCATTTGATTAGTAGGAACTGTAGTCCCAAATCTCCAGAAAGTCAAGGTTTACCCATCTCTGTCTTTGTTCTTGAAATGCTCCATACCATATCCATAAACTCCAATATTTCACAAATACAAATCAGGACACATGTGGACATGCAACATCAGAGTGTGGTCAAGACAGCAAAAGTAATTAATGTGGCAGAACACATAAGTTAGGAGAGGCTGCAATAGTTAGGCCAGAGTGAAGAGAGACGGGGGCAGAAAACAGTTCCATCTTGCCTCCTGTGCTTTACCAATAATATAATAGAATATATTGATTCCAACATACATATATTTATAATATTATAATGTAATACAATATAATAATACAATATTATAATTATATATTTTATGTTACATGTAATATTGCTAACTAATAATATTACAATATAATAGTATAGTACAATATAGTAATATATAATACTGATATTGTACTATGCTAATAATATAATATATTGTGTGTGTGTGTGTGTGTGTGTGTGTGTGTGTGTGTGTATATATATATATATATATATCTTGTAATCCTCTCTGAGTCCCCTTCGGGGTGAGAAGGGCAGCATATAAATGTCATAAATGAATACAGTAAATAAATAAATAGTTTCCTTTCCCATGATCCTACTGGGAAGAGCAAGATTCGACACCTTCTCTATCTCCCGCTGATTTAATTGAGTGCAAGCTACTTTTTGTATATGAACTGAGTTTCCATCAATAAAAGCAACCTGATGACAAAATGGGAATGTGGGAAGGGGAGAGAGAAAATGGGACATTTTAAAATCAGCTGGAATGGCAGGTGATCAATTGGAAAGTCTGTGTGAAATTAGAACTGTTGGTGGGGATGCATATAATTTCATCAACAAGATTGGTCCAGTACGGTTCTGAATCTTGTTCTTCCCAAATGGATTTTGAAGTAATTCTTTGTGAATAGACCCCAGGGATTTTTGCCCGCTTCTGTACCTTAATTTCTATTCTCATTTTCTGAAGCTCCATCTTGAGGTTTTCCTGGTTTACTATTAGCTCATCAAACTTGCGGTTTTTGTCCTCTTGAGCAGAGTGAAGGGCCTGCACTTGGTTCTTCCATTTAGTCAGTTGCTTCCTCAGGTGCCTGCATGACATTCAAATGGCACAATAGTCATATCAAGCTAAACATATGAAAGGGGGCTATCACAAACACTGGGCTAGAGTGAGTGGAGCCAGATTAAAATTCACAGAGAAACTACTGACTGGCATTCAGTGTCTCAAGATATCATGAGATTGCTTAACAGGAAGACGTGTTTGCCGAGGCTGTTCTTGAGGACTTTTCAGAAACTCTCAAGAGTATGTTTCAAGGAGTGCCCCAAATCCTACCAGAGAACAGACTTCTGAAAGCCAATATCATCACTGCACCATTGCTGGCTTAGTTCACAATCCCATTTGACCTACAAAGTGCTACACATCTGACCTCATTCCATTGATAAGGTTGTATGGGGCAATTCGCCAGCCTCCTTGGCAAATTGGTGGGGCAGCAGGGCAATTCCGGTACCTGGTGCCCCGCTTCACCCACAATGATGCTTCTCTATCACATGTGGGGAAGCACCACTGTGTGGCTTCCACCCACGTTGCCCCGTTGTTCCCAACGAAACACAGGAAGTCTCCTGTGTTCTGGGCACGATGTTGTAGGATGCTTGCGTACCAGTTGATTAAAGGCACCCCACCGGGAGTCAGTGTACATCATGTGATGGGCAATTTGGGGCTCTGTGAATTAACTGGGGTACTGTCATGTATCATGTTCTGCAGTTGTTGGTGGTGATAGGCCTAGCAGTTGGTGTTGGAAGGGTTAATGTAAGTCTTAGTTCTAAAGGGTTGAGTAATCTGTAAGTAAGAGTTCATGAGTGAAAGCAATTAATGGTGGAGGTATGCAAGGGATAGGTTGCAGCTGGGTGTTTCTGCCTTGGGACTGATCTTTGGGAGAAAAGTATTTGTCTTATTTTGATGGTAGATGCTGCTGGTTTTTCACCAGGTTTGTGGATTTTTGGTATCCTGACCTGTCTCTTGAACCCTTGGAACCTTGAATCTCTGGACTGGCTTTTGACTATGGTATAGACTCTTGATGCCTGGACTTTGCTCACTGAACTATCGGCGTTTGACCACTGGACTAGACCTTTTGACTACGGTGTTATCTTGAACCTGCAACAGCGTTTGATGTCAGTTTTGTTTTATATTCTGTGGCTGAGTGCTATCTTTGTTTTATGTCTTGGACTATTAAAACAGCCAGAAAGTAAGTGCTGCTTTAATTAAACCGTTTAACACAAACTGGGCATTTGTTTGGTTCATCTCTACCTAAATAAGGCAGAGCCTTGGCATCGTCCTACAACGATTGCAGCCCCCCCCCCCCATGTGATGGAGCCCTTAAGACCCAATATCTCCCAAAGTAATTGTCTTCAGTTGTTCTTGATCATGCATGGCCATCTCTTGAAAACTCAACTGCATTTCTACTGTTTACACACACTGCTGGACTTGTGAACAAACTACAATTTAGGGCACAGGTGAAAATCTGTGAAAGGAACAAACAATAACACCTCCACACACACACACTGTAACATCACATCATGCTTTTGTTTCTTATGGTAGCATTGCTAGCGATGATACATGTAATATTTCCTTTAAAATACCCATGTAGTGAGAATATGAATCTTCCCCCAATCCTGTTCTGTGCCATTTCCTCTTATCCACTCCACACACTATTTTCTCTCCCTCATTAACAATTTTGCTTCTCAGGAGCAAATCATATTATAATATTGTGCTCTTAAGTGCCTATTTTTCTTCTCCCACTGATAGGGACTGAGGTTTCTGTGAAGAATGAGGACCTCTAGTTAAAGATATGAAACTTAAGGGATGCTCTCATTGAGCCTAACCTGATGTAGCTCAACAGGGCACTAGTGCCTCTGGCCTTCTAAATGACTCATGGCAAGCAATAATGGAAGCTGTAGCCTAGTTTCATCTGAAGGGGCATAGACATTGTGTGTATTTGGTACCAAAGATAATGGATGCTGATCCTTTTTTATAACATGTGATGGTACTGCGGGACGTCTGAGCCATTTTTTCTGGACTTAAAAGCTTTTGCATTCCCTGCATCTAGTGATTGCAATCAAAGTACACCCACATACATGACTGGAAGAATAAGAGATGACCTGCCTATTTATTATTTGAGATATATCAGACATGTGTTCCACCCACTTCTCTAATATAGCTGCCAAGACTGACTGATAAATGTAGCCCTGTTGTCTCCTGCTGCCCCATTCCAAGCCTTTTCCTTACACTCTTGAGACAAAGATGTGGAGGTAAACATTCCCTGGTTCTGGGAAGATAAGCCACTTCAGATCTTTGTCTACAATCTTCACCACAGATCACATCCCCAACATCCTTATACCCACCTGTTCTCATTCTGAAGAGCCTTAATGGATTCTTGTGTTTTAGACAGCTCCAACTCAAGAGATGAAGGTACCTACAGAAGAACAGAGAAAGAGAGAAGCACCTTTTACTGACATATCTTACTTACTTAGGCGATCCCTCGTTGTCCGAGTAGGATTGTCTTCCAAGATCGGTGTACTGGCGGTGGGTCCGTAAGTGACTGTGGAGCCCTATTCTTGATCTGCATATTCTCCCCCAGTGAGGACATTGGTTTTCAGGTGGAAGGCGGTCCCGGTCGGGGTTGGCTTGATGAGCCTTCCTCTTGGCCCGTTTCTCTCTTTCACCCTCCATTCGTGCCTCTTCAAATTCTACAGCACTGCTGGTCACAGCTGACCTCCAGCTGGAGCACTCAAGGGCCAGGGCTTCCCAGTTCTCAGTGTCTAAGCCAGAGTTTTTAAGGTTGGTTTTGAGCCAATCTTTAAATCTCTTTTCCTGCCCACCAACATTCTGTTTTCTGTTCTTGAGTTCGGAATAGAGCAACTGCTTTGGGAGATGGTGGTCGGGCATCCGGACAACGTGGCCAGTCCAGCAGAGTTGATGGCAGAGGACCATCGCTTCTTCCAGCACACTGACATTTGTCTGATTGTCTACCCAAGAGATTTGCAGGATTTTCCAGAGGCAGTCCATGTCTCGCAGGCATATAGCAGGGTTGAGAGAACAATAGCTTTATAAACAAGCACCTTGGTCTCCCTACAGATGTCCTGGTCCTCAAACCGACTTATCAAGAAGGTAGTCATTGCACAGAATGGGATGAATAGCAGCCCCTACTTCAGAAGATATATGTGTAGCTCTATATCTCTGAAGTGTTGTTTATTGATGTCCTCTTAACTCACAACAACAACCCTCCACAACCCAACAATTTCGTGTTGTCAGAGAGTAGGAAGGAGAGTGGAGAACAGCAAATATGCCTCCAGTGGTCTTATGTCAGGCATTCACAAGAGTCTCCAAAAAATCCTGTAGATAACATCCTTGCTGGGTATCCAGATGTAGGAAAACAATCTTTCTCTTCAGTTCCCTCCTCTCTCCACATTTATTGAAATGGCTGAATTGGGTGAAGGGCTGCATTGCTTGCAAGATATTAGAGATAGTTTTGGTTTTGTTTGGTCAAAAAAGAAAACAGTCTTCCATTATGAGCAAAAAAAGGAGTAAGTCCAAGTCATCTATAATTCACCAGCAGGATTCCATCCAATGTATTCCGATTGATAATTACCCTGCAATTTTGATCTCAATATGCATTAGTGAACAGAATGGGCAGAACAAGATTATGCAAACCACAAACTAACAGTATGACGCAGCCAGATGTCATCCATTTATGGAACTTTAAAAACAACAACGATTGTCTTGTAACACTTTCCAGTCTAATATATTTATTACAGCATAAGTGTTTACAAAGTAAAGTCTATTTTCTCAAGTGCAGGAAATATATTATTCCCAGATAGCACAAAAAGCTGTAACTTCTCTACAAACCTCTCCTCTGCAACGTTCTGGCAGTGATAAGGCACTAAACTCAAGACAAGATCAGATTATACCAGACTGATAACGTTGACAATGCTCCAGAATCTCTGGATAATAACCCTGCATTAGTGTCTGGTTGGTCAGTATTACGCAGTGTTAATTACCTGATTGGATGTTATTTTTTGATCAAGTGATCTGCCATTTTTATCCTTCTGACGTACTTGGGAAGCTTTGGCATCTGAAGTATGGTTAAGCTGAACTTTTGTAGTATGTTCTGCAGGAAACAGGTCAGGTGGCTCCGGATCCCCTGTGGAAACGAGTTGAATGGAAGAGGGACTGCAAGGAGAAGGAGGGACTGGAATTATACAATATACCCAACCACCTTCATCAGCTTGACAACTAGAACATATTCCAAATAAGATAAAAAATATAGCTACTTCCTCATGACAGATGGTGAATGTTTCTCTTTCCAACCTTGGCATTCACATTTCCAAGCATGCCTTGGTGTCTTGATGGCTGGAGGCTTAGCAGAGCTGGTAAATCATCAGCAATTATAAGATCTATCAACTGAAATGTTGCAAGTTCAAAGCCCCAGGTCAGCATGAGCAGCCGACCGTCAGCCCTCCTCACTGTTTACCTAAGCAGTTCAAAAACAGCTTTAGCTGTAATTAGAGAAATTAGGTACAGCTAAAAGCGGGGGAGGTGTTTTACAACACCATAAAGAAAAAGAAAATGCTGGAATGACGAAGTCCTGGTGGCTCTTCGTCATAGAGGATGGAGCAACAGCACCCCCTGTGGACTCGAGCCCAATCGTCCATGGCATCGAAACAACACCTCCTTCTGTGCTGTCTGTGTACTCTCTATACAAATGGCATTGCATGTTTTATGTATGTGTACTTGTGATCCGCCCTGAGTCCCCTTCGGGGTGAGAAGGGCGGAATATAAATAAAGTGTTGTTGTTGTTATTGTTGTTGTTGTTACCTTGGTAGTGGTCTGCCTTTGGTAATTCCCTAAGCAGTACACATATGTGCATGCGCATCTGCACAACCACCCACTTATACAGGAAACTTCAGACTCCCAAATATTCACTATAAAATGGGGGACTCACTGTGGTTGGCCTTGGGTAGAAAAGTCTCTGTTATCCATCAACCCCAAGGCCTTCCTTCGCAGTGCTTCCTTCCTCTTGCAACGTCCCGGCAGCAAATTGTTTCGAACGATGCGGAAAATGAGCTTGATGTTCTCTCTTGCTGACACCTGCTCAAATGGCACAATCACAGAGAAGGGAGGCAGCTATTTTCAGAAATTGATGACTGAAAACATTAAGGCACCAGTGAACAGTGCAACTTCTCTATTGTTTCTTTTTTCCAGATCAGTCACTGTTGGACATGGGGCAATTGTATTAAGGTTTAAGAACTATTGAGCACATGTGCCTGCATAACTAAAACCATCTAGCATGCATCCCTCTTGCTTTCCATGATCCCTCTCTTAGCTAGACCGGCTTGACTGATATTCTCAAAGTAGCTTCACGACCACTCTTCTCTTCCATCTCTGCTCCAAGCAAGCAGGTAGCCTAAAAGTAGTTTCCCAAGTTATCCTTCTATCCCTAGGTGGAATTTCAGTAATGTAGGATGATTGCCATAGATGCAGGCGAAAAGTCAGACGAAAATGCTTCTAGAACATGGTCATATAGCCCGAAAAACCTACAACAACCCAATGTAGATAGTTTTTTATCATTTTTTTTTTTTGCTGTTTCATCAAACTCTAAATGCCCCTAAAGATTCCATGCTTGGCAGCCAAAGTGAATCCAAATAAGGTTTTGTAACACAGTTTCTTCTGCAGAGACCTTAAATCCATTTACTATTCCCCACTGGAGTAGACTTCATAAAACATACAGAAGTATTGGTTTAATATTCATCATTTGAGTCAGTTGGTCTATGTTAGTTGCTATTAACTACGAGGCATAATTCTGTATTACCGTAAATACCAATGTAGAAGTTGACTTCATCGAGGGCAGATTTTGGGGTCAAAAGCTGAATTTTGTTTTGATCCATGTACAACTCAAGGGTTGTTTCATGGAAAGGGGAATGTACCACCATTGCCTCAGGGTATAGCTGCCCTGGCTATTGCTGTCACCATTTCCCTTTTTGTAACTAAAATTATCAAAGCATACGTATATGTCTAAAAAGTATGCAAGGTATATATGGGAAAAAATGAATTTGGTGTGTAGACTTGGGTCTTACCTTCAAGATATCGCATTATGTATATGCAAATGCAGGTATTCGAAAAACCAAAACAATTCTGGTCCCAAGCATTTCAGAGAAGAGATACTCAACCTGTATAAATTATTCCATAGTCAGCCCTTCAGGGGAGGAAAACCCTGAATGTTTCTATGGTGAAACAAGGTTTCCTTGTACACCTAGCAGGTGGGGGTTACTGCTGTAAAGGTAAAGGTTTTCCCCTGACATTGGGTCCAGTCGTGTCCAAATCTGGGGGTTGGTGCTCATCTCCATTTCTAAGCCGGCGTAGTCTGTAGACACCTCCGAGGTCATGTCCGGCATGACTGCATGGAGCGCCGTTACCTTCCCACCAGAGCTGTACCTATTGATCTACTCACATTTGCATGTTTTCAAATTGCTAGGTTGGCAGAAGCTGAGGTTGACAGCGGAAGCTCACACCGCTCCCCGGATTTGAACCTGTGACTTTTCGATCAACAACCTGAGCAGCTCAGCGGTTTAACCCACTGTGCCTCCGGGGGCTCCTGCTGTACTGCTGTACCGTCTCTAAAGCCAAGATGAGTGGAATAGTGACAGTGTCAGTCACCAACCACCCCCCCACTGATGTCTAGGAACCAGCTGATGTGGAGTGGTGGTTGGTGATTCAGATTATCACTGAAGAGAGCAAAGCACCAGGCATTGACCTTGAGGGGTGGGTGGGTGTGCAGCAAGCCCATTATAATCAAACACGTGGATGCCATCCCCACAAATATGGAAAGCTAACTGTAACATGCCAATCGTTTGCAAGCCAACTTGCATACTGAATCCAATTGACAGACTAATAAAAAAAGGAAAGGAATCTGTTGCTTACAGGCCTGCAGTGTTCTATAATAGGATGAGTCTTCTTGTGGGGTTTGCAATGTTGCCCGGTAAAAAAGCAAGTTTGGCAAAGGTCAAAGTTTAAGCATTTCAGACAACGAAACCTGTCCAGTAGACAACAACAAAGATCAAATTTAGCAATCAAAATTTAACAGAAAGAAAAAAAAACCTCAGTTCACCCACAGGCAATAATATTAGCACCAAAGAGTTTTAATATTTTTATATTGCTTGCTATCATTTTTAACAGAATTTTATTATTGTTTTACTTGTTAGAATTGTTGAGGCACTGAATTGCTGCCAAGTCGTGAACTGCTCCGAGTCACCTCTGGGCTATTTATTTATTAAATAAATAAAATATTTATTTATTTATTTATTCATTTATTAAATAAATAAATAACCTCTGTGCTGAAAGGGGCGGTATATAAATATGGTAAATAAATGAATAAGCTGAATAAAGTGAAAGCAGTCCTATGTACCTCCCTTGACAACAGACTTGAATTTCTGGAACAATTAAACTGGTAGCTTTGTGGATTACATTAGTTAAATTATGATCCTATAAATGATTTTCAACCCATGGGTCCCCAGATGTTTTGGACTTCAGCTCCCAGAAATCCTAACAGTTGGTAAACTGGCTGGAATTCCTGGGAGTTGTAGGCCTAAACACCTGGAGACCCACAGGTTGAGAACCACTACCATAAACCCATGATTAAAAGAAAACCATTAACCAGTGTTTGTGTGTGTGTGCATCAAGTTTTACGGACATGTGGGAATCCTGTGAATTTCATAGGATTTTCGTAGACAAGATGAACTCAGGTGTGTTTTGCCATTGCTTCCCTCTGAAAGACAGATAGCCTGCAGCATCTGGTTTTACTTGGGGGTCCTCCATTCAAATTCTCAGCTTAAAAACTAGCTAACCCTTGATCCAATGAGTTATATACAGATTTGATTAATATGCCTGACAACTAATTTCCTTCTTTCCAAATCTGTAGAATTCTGAGAAGACCAGGAGATCTGACCTGATCCTTCTCAATCACATTTTCATAAATCAAAGTAATCAGATGCCGACGACTCACACTATGGTAAGATTGGAGTTTACAAGGCCGCCCTGAGTCCCCCTTTGGGGGGGGGGGGGAGAGAAGGGTGGGGTAGAAATGCATGAAATAAATAAATAAATAAATAATACAACAAGTATCTGAATAATTTAGGAGCAGAGCTTGGAAAGTTACTTTTTGGAGTATGAGTTCAACCCAACCAGCATAGTCAGGAACATTTATAAAATGTAACTCCAATGAAACACACACATACACAGAGTTTTGGACAGCATAGGGAAGGGTTAACACCCCTATGGTGTTTGTTTTGCTGTCTGTGCCCCTGTTCAAAAGATTTCCCATCACTTTCCATCTCTGTGAAAATGAGATTTTGAAAATTTTGGCTTGTTGTGGAAAAATAATTGGTGATAAAGTTTCGGTGGAGACACCCTTTCCTTATGATACCTCTTCCAGGAGTGAATTTTCTTTCTGAGCGGGAGATTTCTCTCACATCCTGTTGTCTCACCCTCGTTCTTAACTATGAGTCATCTGTTACTTGGATGTTTGCAACTCGGGGACTACATGTACAGGGACCATCTACACTACGCACATATTACTTTAAGAAACTTGAGAATCGTAGATACATGAGAATCCCAAACGTTGTTATAGAAGAAGAAGAAGAAGAAGAAGAAGAAGAAGAAGAGGAGGAGGAGGAGGAGGAGGAGGAGGAGGAGGAGGAGGAGGAGGAGCTTTATTTTTCTACCTCACCTCCATCTCCCTTAAGGGACTCAGGGCAACTTACATGTGGCTAAGCCCAGAAAAATAAAATTAAAAGTAAAACAATAACAAGTTAAAATAGCATAAAACATCATAACAATAATAAACATGAAGCAAGCAACAACAAGCTAATTTTGGAGGGGCGGAGAGGAGCCACTATGCAAACTGGTTAAAGGATAGGAGTTCAATAAGGTGGATAGAAACGTATAATAGCATAGGAAATAGCATGGAAACAGGGCAATTAAACATGATCAGTTCAACTTAAACTTAAAAGTGTATATAGTGATGTAATATAGGAATTCAGATTCAGGTCATGATACAGATCAATTGCCATAGGAGTCGTCAGTCAGAAAAAGCACAGTGAAACATCCACGTCTTTAATTCCTTACGCAAAGTGGATAGGGAAGGGGCCAGCCTAATCTCACTGAGGAGGGAGTTCCAGAGACGAGAGGCCACCACTGAGAACGCCCTCTCTCTTGTCCCCACCAGCTGCCCCTGAGACGGGGGGGGGGGGGAGCGAGAGAAGAGCATCCCTGGACGATCTTAGAGATCGTGTGGGCTTGTAGGGAAGGATGCGGTCCCTAAGTTCCTCTCGTGCTACACTTGCGAAGAAAAAACATAGCTTGGCAAAGTTATATTTTTGGATTATCACTTTCTGAACACTGTAGATATCACTGGTAACTTTTCCAAGTTCTGGTTAAAATATCATGACGGCAATCTCTTAGGGTCATGTACCAGGACTGTCATTTTTGGCCCCTTCCACACTGCCCTACATCCCAGGATCAGGTTATCTGTTTATTCCAGATCATCTGGAAGTGTAGACATATAATCCAGATAAAAGCAGATAATCTGGGATCAGATCCTGGGATATAGAGCAGTGGAAACCCAGCTTTAGAAGCCCTCCAGATGTTCTTAGGCTGCCAATTCCAGTAGTGTTCACTGGCATAGTCTATAAAGAAAAATGCTAGGAGTTGCAGTCCACCACCATCTGGAAGCCTGCCAGATTCCTAACTTGCTTCACAAGCAGTTTGAGGGAAAAAGAGGTTCTTTCAACTTAGCATGTAGAACTGAGCCACAGTATTGACCAGGGCCTTCAGTCATTCCTGAAAGGTAAATAAAAGCAATGTTAGCACTCAAATTGTAATGCTTTGCACCTGAGTCCAGTGATAGGAAAGTGCTTGCAGACATTGCATTTGACCTTGTGGGTGACCATTTCTGTTGCCAACAACCTGTAGAGGGTGGGGAGCCAGAGGAGGATTGTGGGTTCAGACCAGAGCCAAGCCAAGAATCTCTCTTCCCCAACAGCCGAGTTCAGAACCTGAAAGGGAATTTCAGTTGCATCAAGGCCTCTATTGCTCACAATCTCCACAAGACACAATGCAAAGCCTGGCAGATGTTTAGGATTGCTTTCTGGAGTAAAGAGTGGCCCACTGATTTCTCTACTATTATGGAGTGAAATTTTGAACTGCAAATATGTTAAGATTTTGTGACTTTTGAGCTGATTTCTATCACGGTTCTGTCTAATTCGGCTCAAGATAATGCAGATTCCTTATGCCAAAATGCAAATGATGCATCAGAAGCTGTTTTTGAGGGGACTGTGCATACAGCTAGACCTCTTCGATAAGTTTTTCAGATAAAATGGATGGGGATGGAGGAGAGGAAAGTGCCATTCTGCTCCTTCAGGCTCTGAGACCTAGATGGCAATGGGGATTGACCCCTGGGATTGCAGACCACGGTCCCAAAAGTCAGTTCTCACAGGCCCACACCTGGAAGGATCCAGACCTTACATTAAGGTCTCGATCTTTCAAGGTGTCAGATTAATCCCAGTTTGGACCATACGACTGTTATGATAATTGGAAACGGATATGTGATGTAATTGGAAATGGCTATGTGATGTGATTAGGAGCCCCTGGTGGTGCAGTGGGTTAAAGCACTGAGCTGCTGAGCTTGTTGACCAAAAGGTCACATGTTTGATTCCAGGGAGCAGCGTAAGCTTCCGCTGTCAGCCCTAGCTTCTGCCAACCGAGCAGTTCGAAAACATGCAAATGTGAGTAGATCAATAGGTAATGCTGCAGCAGGAAGGTAACGGCGCTCCATGCAGTCATGCTGGCCACATGACCTTGGAGGTGTCTATGGACAACGCCAGCTCTTCGGCTTAAATGGCGTTGAGCACCACACCCCAGAGTCAGACATGACTTGACTTAATGTCAGGGGACAACCTTTACCTTTACTATGTGATGTGATTATTTAACTAATGTTACTGTTCTTAATTTTTTTATATATTCTTGGTTTTATATTGTTGTCTATTGATATTGTGGCATCGAACTGTTGCCTATGTTAGCCGATATAAGTCCGTCCCCCCCCCGGGGGGGGTTGAGAAGGGCAGGGTAGAAATGCTGTAAATAAATAAATAAACAAACAAACTCATGACTCATGATCTGTCATGAGTTATGAGCCTGTGTTGAAGAGCCCACAGAATAATTCTCTGGTTCTTACTGAACTTAGAGGACACATATGGTGCGGAGTCGGTACACCTCTGACATGTCACAAGGAAGACATGCAACTGAATCCAGATTTCTTGTTCTTATTGCTTACTGGGAAGTGTTTCACTGACCCTCTGCACCACATCATTCACAGAATTTTATTTATCTTGATTACTATTTATTTATTGCCCTTCCAAAAACAGTGTACAATAGATTAAAACACTTTAAAAACAGTCTGCTAAATATAACTCAAATTGAGGGTCCATATTATATTTCCTCTCACTTACCCCACTGAAACAACTGTGTGTTGCACTTTCCACATGAGACATGTTGTGGCCTTCTCCGACAACCACTATGAGCTGTAGCAGGGGGGAAATACACCATTAGATTGTGTTTGCATATGGTGTGTGCCTTCTAGTTGCCTATTGGCTTATGATGATGCCATAAATTTCATAGGGCTTTCTTAGGGAGGAAACTTTGCCATTTCCTTCCTCTGAAATATAGTCTACAGCACCTGATTTCTGTTGGTGGTTTCTTAACAGTCACCCACCCTAATAAAGGACAACTACAAGCATAATGCTTAATTCAAAAGGAATGAGAAAAGAGTAATGGGCAAATGTGAATGCAAATGTGTATCTGTGTGCTTATCAGAGGAAACAAGAAAAGTAATTTCAATCATAAAAGTAATCTCCCCTAATATATGCCTTGAAACGTGAGAGGGGTTCTGTGTTAATATAGCCCAATTTGGGTGAACTTGTCATCATCCAGATGTTGTCAGACTTCAGCTTCCATCCCAGATGTTTTGGGCTACAAAATCCACAGTTCCTTACATTTTGGCAATGCCTAGATGGGACTAGGGCAATTGTTGGCCAACCCCCCCCCCCCCCCCCCCCCCCCGGGAGAGGTGTTTAGGAGATATATCTTCCCTCCAATTCCTCATTATACAGGAACTGAATTACCTGGAGTAAATCTATTAGCAGACTCCTCACACTGGTTCGGGTAATGTGAAGGCTGCTTCCAGAACCCCTTCCAGAACATGTTGCGTAGAGCTGAAAGAGAGCTACCAACAGCAGATAATAGAAAGCAGAAACTCCATAGAGTTCAGGAAATTATTTTCAACCCTGTTTTTGAGGCTAGTCATTTCAAACTTAATAAGGAAAGTAATTGTGATTCTAACACTTACGGGCAGAATCTGTTGGATTTGGAATGGGAAAACCCAGGTTCGAACCCCAATTCATTCCTGGAGACTTCTAGACTTAGGTCGTTCATTCTAAGCCTAGCTTAACTCCACAGTTATAATAAAAACAGACTAATCCCCTTCTATAAGGGACCAAAACCCTGGCAAATATTTTTCTTTGTTCCATTCTTTTGTATTCCACACAGAGCTTAAAGTGATTCTTATTTTTCTCCTCACCAGTCATGTTTTACCTTCAACCACAGCCTTATAAAGTAGATTACGCCAAGAGACAGGAACTAAGGAGTTTATTGCACAAGGCAGGCAAATTGCAATTGCAGCAAGACCATAAAACCATTGTATTGTCGAAGGCTTTCATGGCCAGAATCACTGGGTTGTTGTAGGTTTTTTGGGCTGTATGGTCATGTTCTAGAAGCATTCTCTCCTGACGTTTCACCTGCATCTATGGCAGGCATCTTTGGAGGTTTTTTTATTTTATTTATTTATTTCATATATTTATACCCTGCCCTTCTCATCCCCGAGAGGGGACTCAGGGCGGCCTCACAACAAGCACCGTACAATGCTATCACTCATCATAAACAATCAACAAATACATTAAAACACTAAAACAATTCATTAAAACAATTGATTAAACACACCAGTTAAAAACCAAATTCAAGTCTGGGTTAATTCAGTGTCGCAAGTTGCCTAAGTCTTCTTTCCACTTGCCACTATTCACCAGTTGAATGCCTGGTCCCAAAGCCAAATCTTCAGTTTTCTTCTAAAAGATAAAGGAGGTGGCCAATCTGATGTCCCTGGGGAGAGATTTCAATGGCTTCTCTGTGTAGTCTGACATGGTGGTTGTGAGAGTGGTCCAGTATTTCTGTGTTCTCAAATAATATGCTGTGTCCAGGCTGGTTCATCAGGTGCTCTGCTATAGCTGACTTTTCTGGTTGAAGTAGTCTGCAGTGCCTTTCATGTTCCTTGATGCGTGTTTGGGCAATGCTGCGTTTGGTGGTCTCTATGTAGACTTGTCCACAGCTGCATGGTACACGGTAGACTCCTGCAGAGGTGAGAGGATCCCTCTTGTCATTTGCTGAGCGTAGCATTTGTTGGATTTTCTTGGTGGGTCTGTAAGTGGTTTGTATGTTGTGTTTCCTCACCACACTCTCTCACAAGCACCATGTCAGACTACACAGAGAAGCCACTGAAATCCACAAGCATGTGGACAATTTCAACAGAAAGGAAGAAACCATGAAAATGAACAAAATCTGGCTACCAGTATTAAAAAAACTCAAAAATTACAACAGCAAAACAACAGAGGGGAAACAAACAAGCACATAAAATCACTCTCAACAAAAGATTCCCCCCAGGCACTTCCAAGTCATTGAATGCTAATCAAGGTGATCAGCTGAAACATTCACAGCTAGCCCCAGCAGACAAAAGTCCTTTGTCTCACCCTGGTCATTCCACAGATATATAAACCCATTTTTCCTACTTCCAACAGTCCTCATTACCTCTAAGGATGCTTGCCATAGATGCAGGCGAAACGTCAGGAGAAAAATTGCTTCCAGAACATGGCCATATAGCCCGGAAAAACCTACAACAATCCAGTGATTCTGGCCATGAAAGCCTTCGACAATACAATTAATGTTATTGTTTTAAATATATTGCACATTTATGGTTTTATATCATTTTTATATTGATATTGCGGCATCGAATTGTTGGCAATGTTAGCCGCTCTGAGTCCCCGCACGGGGGTTGAGAAAGGCAGGATAGACATCTTGTAAATAAATAAATAAATAAATAGAACATGAATATACAGCCCAAAAAACCTACAACTCAGAACACCATTGTCTTGGACTTATCACAGGACGCTAGTCTTTTTCTGTTGCTTTCCTGATGAGAATCAGCTTTTAAACAAATCAATGTTTAATGAACTCCTTTTGTAAAAGAAACACACCCCTAATAGTCTCTCATCTGGAGAGTCACAGCTTAGGAGCAACATCATGGGATAAACCCAAAGCAAAGACGTTGTTGTCCTGCTGTAATTGTGATTTGCCTCTTTTATGTGGTAAGCACCTTACTACATGCCATACTGAGATTTTCATGACTCTATGAGGATTTGTACCTAGCTCTTTCCTATTGTGGTATTGACACTAAAACAGGGTTGGAGATCATGTATCCTCCAGATACTGTCTTCTACCTTCATATACCAAAACAGAGACTGCAACTTTCAGCATAATCCATGTTGGAGAGCATTGAAAGCTACACTCAATAGCATCTGAAATGTCGTGTGATTTACACTCCTGCTCTAACACCTACACAACAGTGCTGTGGTTGTTGATTATTCACAATGATGACACAATTAGAGACAATCCATGATGGAGTCACTCAATTTTCACTTAACTGTGTGTTGGATTTTAGCTGTCATCTCCATCCAACCTGCCCATCCACTTAACCAGCGTTCTACAAATCAATATGGCAAAACAAAAAGCATTGGAAAGAGAAGCTGTTTTGTGCACCTGCTACTCCCAGGATACTTCCAGCTCATTTTGTATGTGTCTGGCAAGATTGGACTTGTTCATAGAGGGGAAAAATGTATGTCTATGTGTCAGCAATCTGTTGATAAGTATCTAGAGAAGGTACATCCTTTACCTCTGTATTTAGTAGGCAAGCTGTCTCCTGAAAGCGCAATCAGAGCAGCTGCAGCGGATCGCGACTGGATAAAACCCACGCCATTTCTACAATGTGATAAGAATGACAAGAGTAAGGTCAACAATTGCCACATGAGCTCTAGCATGCCAATGTCATATTATGTTTCCTTATCTGATTAATGCAAAATGTAAGTGCTGTGAGGTCCATCTCTGAGGACATAATGATATCTCTAGTGTGAATAGCAGGGTGAATCAATGTACAAGCAAGCACATGTTTCTGTGTCTTTAGTTAGTACGAGGGTTGAATGAAAAGTAATGCCTTCACCTCCGTTACTTGGGTTTGGATCGGAATATTTTAATAAATTAAATGCAGAAATAATCCTTAGAATGTGCTCTTTAACTACCACTATTCACTTTTCCACATAATCACCAGACAATTGGATACATTTCTGCCAACGATGAACAAGTTTTCTGAAGCCGTCATGGAAGAAGTCAACACTCTGTTTCCGCAACCCATCGTGCACAGATCTTCCGATAGCCAAGCAAAGCAATAATGTGACCCACACGTTCTTGTGAAATGCTGATAATGCTTGAAATTTCTCTCTGAGTTATATAACAATCATCCTGAATTAATCTGACAACCGTTTGCTTGTGAAACTCAGTGGTTGCTGTCACAGGATGCCCAACTCTTTGTTTGTCATGCAAGTCAAGTGTTCCCACCTCAAATGGTTTAACAAACTAAGAGACTACATGGATCTGGACTCCCTAAATTCCTACTTCAAGATCAATTGGTGAGACACAAGATGGATTGGTCATCCCTAAGAGAATACTTGAAGGAGCAAAACTTTAATTGGCTTCAGTAAAATGGAATAACAACGAGAAAGGAAACTGGATAATATATGGACGTGAGAACATAAAAGAGGAGAAGATGAAGTGTATCAGTCATTTTTAGGGCATCAGTCTTAAGAAACCACCTTTTCTGAATAGTTTCTCCTCATATCTTTCAATAGGACCTGGGTTAAGGCATTAGACTTAAGAAACCACGTTTTCTGGGATCGTTTGCCATTAACCATGCTTTCAATGAAGCTGAGTTAAGGCATTACACTTAAGAAACCACATTTTCTGGGGTTGTCTCCCCTAATATCCTTCAACAAGACTTGCGTTAAGGTATCAGACTTAAGAAACAACCTTTTCTGGGATCGTTTGCCATCAACATGCTTTCAATGAAGCTGAGTCAAGGCACCCTTTGAAAACACTCATTTCATTAGGAGCCTCACCACCTGAAGGAGCATTAGCCATTCTTTTAAAAAAGATATAAATTACCTCCTCATTTTATGGTGGCTTTAGAAGATACCTCTACCCCACATTTGAATCTTGTGTCGTGTAAAGGACACGATCGGTGGCAGTTCCTTAAGTATGTAAAAACGCTTATTTATTGCTATTTGAGTCAAAAAGCAAGGCAAGTCATGCAGAGCTACAAACTGCAATGAGAATTTAGATCACCAGTGGACTGGAGAATGATTTGTCTCTCTCGCAACAGAAAAATTGAGGTCCAGCTTGGCTAAAAGACATGTCATGGCTTTCTTCTGTTCTGATTGGATCAACAAGCAGGGCTCACAGAGAAAAAACCCCATACAGGCATGTGGCTGCCTCTCCCCATGTAGCCGAATGAAACCAAAAGTAGCCATGGTTGGCAACCACGTAGTCCATTGCAACCAGAAAAAATTGAGGTGGTGCCCATGCCATTATGGCCAGCCAAAAGAACCGAATCAGCTGGAGCCTGTTTTGAAAAACAAATCAGTGCACAGTCCTACTGCATACTAGTCTCTTTAGCTTCTTCATTCAAACCATTATTTCAGAAAACTAAATGTGCTCAGCACCAGAGTATGAAATTGCAAAACATAGAATTCTGCATTTAAAAAACAGCAGCAATGCAATAAGTGACATCTCTGCAGCAATTATGAACTCCCCCCAAAAAAATGAAAATGGGGCTCAGGTGAATACTTTCAAATCGGCAAGAAATTGGATACTATTTGGTGTGGTGGTGGCATCTCACCTGTCATATGCAGCCATCAGTAGTCTCAGTGTGAGTTCTGGGGCCTTGGGTTCTACCTGGCCTGGCTTGTCTGAGCTGGCTCTCTTGAAAAGCTCCGTGAGCCCCTTGAAGAGCTGCTCCACTGGCAGAGGCCTCTCTTTCTCAGCCTGGCATGAGTGGCTTGGCAGGATGTAATCAACCAAGGAGACATTTGTCAAATCAACTGTGGAAAATAATGCAAGACATTCATTACATAGTCCCCACCTGAACAAAGGGTGATTTCTTATTTCAGCAAGACGTGATGCTAGTTTCAGAGTAACTTAACCCAGTTTTTGAAGAAAGGTACATCAGAAGTTCTGATGGTTTTTTTTGCTGTAGGATCCACTGTTGGATTTGTAGCTATTGGCATTACTCCCTTGATATTTTTCTTTAATAGCGGTTGAGGGCAGCAGGGCTTCTAAAACTTTTCCACCCGTGGCCCTTTTCAACCCGAGAAAGGTATATATGTCCCTGGTATAACTATATATATATAAATGTAATGTTCGTTTGTGGGATTAACATAACTCAAAAACCACTGGACTAATTGACATCACATTTGGACACAAGACACCTCTCAGGCCAACGAGTGACCATCACGCATAAAAACACTGAAAAACACAGCAGAAGGGACTTATAAAGCCAAAAAATAAAAAAAAATACATTACAACACATGCATAAAACCACATATATACACATACACACACACACACAAAACACATATACATAGACTGGGCCACAGCAACGCATGGCAGGGGACGGCTAGTAGGCATATAAAATAGATGTAAAATCCAACATTTACTGATAACACACCAGCATTTACAGAACTTACTAAACAGGCTGATTTTCCTTTTTATGAAGTACATCCGAAACGTCTTCTGCAGATGTAATCTCCCACTTTAAATACTGCACAGATTAGTGTAAATTAGGTGACATTCAGAAACCCCTCACTGTTGTCAAATGTTTTGGGGGCCCAACATTGAACTAAGGGGACCCAATTTGGAGTCCTCCCATTTGGGCCCACAATTTAAAAAGCAGTGTTTTAGGGTAAAGTCCTCCAACCTTGGCTTGCTTAATAAATGGGATAGGTCACAAGTGCATCTGCACTGTAGAACTGATGTAGTTTGAGACCACTTTAACTCTCATGGTTCAATGCCATGGAATCATAAGAGCTGCAGTTTTGCCAGATATTTAGCCTGCTGAAGAGTGTTGGGGCCTCACCAACTACAAATCCCAAGTAATTCACAAAGGAGCTGGTAGATTCAGTGGTTTGCTCCCATAAGGAACCTGTTCTGATCCAGAGGTAAAGACAAAATGCTCAAAGCTGGGAAAATAATTGGTAACTTGAGAGTGCATTGCACAAGGATTAAAATTTGACTTAATCCCTTCGAAAGTAGAAAGTGGTCTAATCCTGACTATTACATGACTCACGCTGGCAGAGGCTTTGCACTGCACGAAGCTTCAGGGCTGTTCTGTAGACAGAATTCGGAATAACGTTCAGAGCCTCTGTGAAATAAAATAAAGATTACTAAATCTGAATGATTATAGATATGTTTATACAAGACACCTTCAGATAGAAGTATGAACTAGGAATATCCACTAGGTCCACTCGGTGGCCTGGAGCTGCTGCGGCCGCCGCCTCGCCTCCGGCTCCTTCGACAAGACCGCCAGCGTCTTCGTGCTCGACAAAGACCGCCTGGTAAGCGGCAGAGGGATGTGGGCCGCGCCCGCCCGCCCAAAGCCTCCTCGCCTTGCCTCCATCACGGCCAGTGTTCTTCGCAACTTGATGTGACGCTGCTTAGGCCCATCTACACGGTCCCATTTAAAAGCAGGCCAGACAGCAAACTCCCACCAAAGCGCATGAAAAGCCCTTAATACGCATTAGTGCTCGGTGGTCTGTGTAATCGCCACCCGGACCCCCAAAACCCCGTTGCTGTCCACCTCTCCGGCGCCTGGTGGTGCGTCTGCCCCCCGCCCTCGGCGCTGGCGCCGGCGTCCCCTTTGCTCTTCTGCTGGAGGTGTTGGCCGCCATTGCTTGGAGGACTGGGCGGCCGTCGGGGGAGTGTCTTCGGCCGAGCACCGGCCATTCGGCGCCTCGGCCCGCGGGCGCGCCGGTGATTCCGAGGGTGCTGGTTTGGCTTGGGGAGCCGGCCCTTCTCGTGGTGTCCTTGGGGGGCCTGTTTGCCATTGCGCCGGCATTTTTCCATCTTGCCGGAAGCTCCGGCCGCCATTCTCCACCGCGCCGGAAGACCTTGGCCGCCATTGCTGGAGAACTCAGGGCTGCCTGCGGCCTCGGCGTTCCGCGCCTGGTCCCCCAGGGGAGGTGGGCCACGATCCACGATCCTCCCATTCATCGTAGCCGAGACCTAGGGTGCGGTTCGGCCTGCCACGCAGCCGACTACGGCGAGGTGCTCGTAGACGCGGCTCTGACATCTCCCGGCGTCCCGGCGCCCTCCATGACCCCCCCTTCCCCGGGGGTCTGGCGGCGCTTGTGGTTCGAGAAAGGCTGGCCTTCCATCGTACCGGCCTTTGCTGGTTCAGTTAGGCCCTCATCGGCTCCAGCTTGAGTCGGCCCTGTGTTGATTGAGTTGTATTGTTACCATCTGGCTGATTGACTGTGTTGACCGAGTTCCTCCAACAGACAAGAGTTCTTTCTCCCATCCTGGACATCATTATACAGGTATATATATAGGGGGGGGGGAATTCCCCCAGGCAGGAAGCAGCCAGGCTTTGAAGCTGCAAGGCTAGTCAGTGTTAATCAAGGTGGCCAATTGCAACATTCACACCCACCCTGGACATCATTCCACAGATAGATAGATAGATAGATAGATAGATAGATAGATAGATAGATGTGGGGGATTCCCCCAGGCAGGAAGCAGCCAGACTTTGAAGCTGCAAGGCTAGTCAATGCTAATCAAGGTGGGCAATTGCAACATTCACACTCGCCTCCAACAGACAAGAATCCTTTCTCCCACCCTGGACATCATTCCACACACATATATATAGGATTCCCCCAGGCAGCCACCAGCCAGGCTTTGAAGCTGCAAGGCCATTCAATTTTAATCAAGCTGGTCAATTACAACATTCACACTTGCCTCCAACAGACAAGAGTTCTTTCTCCCACCCTGGATATCATTACACAGATATATATAGAGAGAGGGGGGATTCCCCCAGGCAGGAAATAGCCAGGCTTTGAAGCTGCAAGGCTATTCAGTGCTAATCAAGGTGGCCAGCTACAGCAGTCACACTTCCACAGATATATAAACCTTCCACAGATATATAAACCCCACTTGCCTCGTTTCCAACAGACCTCACAACTTCTGAGGATGCCTGCCGTATATGGGGGTGAAATGTCCGGAGAGAATGCTTCTGGAACATGGCCAGACAGTACGAAAAACTCGCAACAACGCAATGGTTCTGGCCATGAAAACCTTCGACAACACAATATCAAGAAAGACAATCCATAATATCTGCTTTGAACTGGGTTATATTGAGTCCACACTGCCATATAATCCAGTTCAATGTGGATTTTATACGGGCCATATAGCGTCAACAATCCTATAGATTTCAGGAGAGCTGCTGGACGCCAGGATTCTCTGCTGCATCCTGGAGGTAAGTCCCGTAAATGCTTTCTGTGCCTCAGTTTCCTCTTTGCGTGTGTTTGCAGAAAGATATGTGGTCGCTTGTTCCACACTATCGAATTTTTAGAAAACAACTCAAACTCTTATGCACACATTAATTGTCTGAAATCAATCTATGACAAACGAAAAGGGAGAGATTCACCCACTCCTGAAAACCAAGTGATATTGAATCAGTCACATTCCAGGTGAGTTTCATATGCAGATGATACCTCACAATATGCATGATTTTGCACAAATGTTACCAGATATGTTATCCGTTGGTTTCCTTGGATAGATTCGAAATGAATTGGGATTTTTCTTTGTGCATACAAACATGTACTTACTTACTTACTTACTTACTTACTTACTTACTTAGGCAATCCCTCGTAGTCCGAGGATGATAGTCCTCCAAGTGTAGTGTCTTGGCCGTGGGTCCGTAGGTGGCTGTGGAGCCATATTCTTGATCCACATGTTCTCCAGGTGGAAAGTGGTCCTGGTCAAGGTTGCCTTGACTTGCCTTCCTCTTGGCACGTTTCGTCTTTTCCCCCTCCATTCGTGCCTCTTCAAATTCTGCAGCACTGCTGGTCACAGCTGACCTCCAGTTAGAGCACTCAAGAGCCAGGGTTTCCCATTTCTCTGTGTTCTTTCAGTAGATTTGATATCGCACTGTAATTGCTAGGCACCACCTACCATCCCTCCCTCATGTAAATGCACACAGAGAAGGGTATGGGAAACTATAACTCCCAGGACCTAATCAAATGGAGCTATGGTATTTAAAGTGGGGTCCAAGAGCATTCATTCCACAGTGTAAATGCATCAATTGAAGGGTGTAAATGCACCCAGAGAAGGGTATGGACCTTGGAAAACTATAACTTCCAAGACCACAAAGTTTGGTGCTGTGGTATTTAAAGTGGGGCCCAAGAGCATTCATTCCGTAGTGTAAATGCACCCATAACAGGGTGTGGACCTTGGAAAACTATAACTCCCAGGAACGCATCATATGGAGCTATAATATTTAAAGTGGGGCCGAAGAGCATTTATTCCATAGTGTAAATGGACCCATAGAAGGGAGTGGACCTTGGGAAACTATAACTCCAAGGACTGCATAGTTTGGAGCTATAGTATTTATTAAAGTGGGGTCCAAGAGTATTGATTCCCTAGTGTAAATGCACCAAGAGAAGAGTATGGACCTTAGGAAACTATAACTCCCAGGAGGACTCCATCGCATGGAGCCATGGCATTTAAAGTGGGGTCCAAGAGCATTGATTTCCTAGTGTAAATGCACAAAGAGAAGGGTATAGACCGTGGGAAACTATAACTCCCAGGACCGCATAGTTTGGCGCTATGGTATTTAAAGTGGGATCCAAGAGCATTCATTCCATAGTGTAAATGCACCCAGAGAAGGGTATGGAACTTGGGAAAACTATACTAGGACTACATAGTATGGAGCTATGGTATTTAAAGAGGGATGCAAGGGGCAAGGGCATTCATTCCATAATGTACGGCTAATAATAATAATAATAATAATAATAATAATAATAATAATAATTTAATAATAACAACAACAACATTTGGGAAGTGTTGGACGTGTGATCTAATTCAACAGCCAGCAGAGTGATCTGCTGTGGACTCATCTTGTTGTGTTTCAGACCGGGACATGGAACCGAGACAGTCTTGGTCGCCTTAGTGGATGATCTGCGCCGGGAGCTAGACAGGGGGAGTGTGTCCCTGTTGGTGCTCCTGGACCTCTCAGCGGCCTTCGATACCGTCGACCACGGTATCCTTCTGGGGCGCCTTGCGGAGATGGGTCTTGGGGGCACTGCTTTGCAGTGGCTCCAGTCATTCCTGGAGGGCCGTACCCAGAAGGTGTTATTGGGGGACTCCTGTTCAACACCACAGCCTTTGACTTGTGGGGTTCCACAGGGT